GGAGCCAGCGACTTGGCGACATCCCCGAGATCACATGTAAACGAACAATCGGCTTCCCTCACTCTACATTTAGTCCTGCTTGTGCAAAGCAGGACTAAATGTAGAAAGGGCAACTTACCGCCCGACGCCCGGAACTTCCTCATAAAGACGACGCTGCCACCCCTCTGCGCCCTGCCGCCCCTTGTGGGGAATCCGGGCCTGGTTGGAATGTTTAGGTCAGGGGAGGTGGGGGGACCAAAAAGAATACATTAACTTATCCTTTAAAGGAGAACTATGGGGTCAGGGCTTTTCCCAATAGTTCTCCTTAGGGTAACGGGAGGACACAAACTAGCGTCCTCCCGTCACCCTAGGCTCAGTATATAGGGAGCTACAGCTCCCTATATGCTGAGATGCCGCAGCTGAAGCGGATCCCGACAATTGTGCCGGGATCCGCCCAGCTGCGTGACTGACAGCTGGCTCCTCCTATCTAGAGGCAGAGCCAGCTGTCCCCGCCCCCTCCCCCGTCCGTTCCGCCAGTCAGCGCTGGAGGATCGGAGCGGGGAGGGGGGAATCCAGCCCCTCCCCCTGTCACGGCAGAGAGCAGTGACAGGATGGAGAGGTGAGCGAGCGCCGGTATGTGTTCTCTCACCTCCCGATCTACTGAGCCGACCTGTGACAGTCTCATTGTCACAGGTCAGCTAGAACTATGAGGTGAGTGAAAAGCACCCCCCCTCCCCCCCTCATAGTTCTCCTTTGAAGAAATCATAAACTCCTTACAGGCAGATCCTCGGTTAGACTGAACACTCCTTAGACTCTTTGCCTTGTTGAGGGGAACCAAGCCTTACCCTGCTGACACAAAGGCCGCGTGCATACCTGTGCTTAGACCTTGGTGTTGCCATTTCCATTGCCTTTCATCAACATTTGTCTGCTAAGATATATTCCAGACAGTGGCGTAACAATAGCCATAGTTAGTCTATGGTGGGCTCTGCAGGGTCACCCTCAGGTGAGCTATGTGGGCTCTTCAAGGGGTGTAACTAGAAATCGGCCGATTAACCTTCCCGTGTCCCTTTTGGAGTTGAGGAGGAGGCCAAAGTAGCCGGAGGAAACCCCCCACATCACAGATAGAAAGTGCAAACTCCATGCCGCTCCGACCACCGCGCTCCCCGATACAAATAACAAAATGTAACATAATAATATAACGCGAGTCTTTACCGAATGTCGCGATCTCCGCCCGATGTTCATTATAATCTGACGTCTCTTCTCATCAATGTCTCCAGACGATGCTGCAAGTGGAAGATGTGAACTGTATCTGTGTGGATTGGGTCGGCGGATCCCGGACACTCTACACTCAGGCTTCCAATAATATCCGTGTCGTGGGGGCGGAAGTGGCCTATTTCATTGACATCCTCCATGTACGTAAAAATTCAAGTCATGGCTGCAAGTATCAACCTGACTACCGGAAAAATCTCATGAGCAATAAAACATTGTTCACATAATCCATGACTACTACAGCTCTGACATTTCCTCCAGTGGTTTGTGTCTCTGCCCCTCCCACAATGGTGAGATTTCCCTCCAGTAGTCTGTGTCTCTGCCCCTCCCACAATGGTGAGATTTCCCCCAGTAGTTTGTGTCTCTGCCCCTGTGAGATTTCCCCCAGTAGTTTGTGTCTCTGCCCCTCCCACAATGGTGAGATTTCCTCCAGTAGTTTGTGTCTCTGCCCCTCCCACACTGGTGAGATTTCCTCCAGTAGTTTGTGTCTCTGCCCCTCCCACAATGGTGAGATTTCCCCCAGTAGTCTGTGTCTCTGCAGTCCCTTCCCCCCTCCTGTCCATTGCTATTGGTCAATGAGACTTCCCCTTACTCTGTGGAACCAATAGTGATGAACGGGGCATTTCAGAGAGCACTATTCTATGACCTACGACCTACGAGCGCCTCCTCTATAGATCAGTTTGGGGTCTGCAGTTCCTCTGGGTGGTCTCATCTACTGATGCCGAGACTCATATCAAAGCTGCCCGGGGGGGAACCCAGAATCCTTGTAATGAGGACGAGCAGCATGAAATCCCAGACCGCTGATGAGGACGCATCTGATCTTATATTCCTGTATGTGCCGCCATCTTTGTATCTCATATATTGCTGTGATCATGTGATCGGTTTATAGAACAACTTTGGATACGCTCCGGCCAACGTTCATGTCATTGGCCACAGTCTGGGCTCTCATGCCGCAGGAGAAACTGGCAAGAGGAAGAGAGGAATCGGCAGGATCACCGGTGGGTGTCAGCACATGGAAGAGCGATCATTGTGTGTCATACAGGAAAGCAACATTCAGTGACCAGTCACCACAGGAGAGGAGTGTGGAAGGGTATGATGGAGGCAGAGGCGTCCCGAGGCGGGGTGACACCTGGTGTAGATACTGGGGTGACACCCCGCAGTGATGTAATTGCGTACACGCATGACGGACGCCGGCAGAGAGAGGAGTGGACCTTCACCCGGCGGGATGAGGTATGCCGCCGGGTCCCCTCCTCTCTCGAGCAACTGTCGGGGTCTCGGTCCATGACCGAGAGCACCGACTTTTCAGAGGGGTTGACAATAGTGTCACCGGGGAGCGGGCCTCACCCCCCGCACCCCCTTTGTGATGCCACTGGATGGAGGCTAGTATGTGCAAGAGACGAGTTCCACCATGACTGTCCCCTGTGTACAAAGCCAGCTCCATATAGACATTGTGTGACCAGCTTGGCATGGAGGAGTTCCAGTGTCCTGCACAGAGCCCCCACCACAACCCTACTGGACACCTGTGGGATGAATGGGAACGCCGATCGTGAGCCGGGTCTTCTCATCCAACATCAGGACCTGACCTCACAGATGGGACAAATTCCCAGAGACACCCTCCAAAATCTTGTGGAAAGTCTTCCCAGGAGACTGGAGGATGTTATAGTCACAAAGGGGGCAAATCCACACTAAGGATGGTGGTGGGGGTGGGGGACTCCATATTATTATCCATCAGGAGTGGGACAACTCCATATTAATGATCATTTGAAGAGGGGGGGGTGTTAAGATTCCATATTATTGGCCATGGGAGGGGGGGCTACATAATAATGGCCATTGGAGGACATGGAGAGCTCCATATTCATGGCCATGGAAG